GTCCTCCCCGTGCTCAATGGGGGCTTTGTTTGGAAGGAATGCAAACAAAATTCGGGCTGTGTGAAAGGGCCAGCTCATCATTTGTACCTCTGCAGTGGACTGGAAAATAATGTTTACTCCCTGCCTCTCCAAGCGGTGGCCGTGGCTCTGTCACTTGTCAAGAGCAGTCACTTTGTGATTTAGTGGCAGAGGGGGGATCTTGGCAGGGGTTTGGGAAGGTGTAAAATGATATGGAAATGATTATGGGCTTAAAGCTGTCCTGCTGATGCAGCTCCTGGCTCTTCATTAACATCTTATATCTGAGAGAGCTGGAAACACAAATCCCTTGAGCCAGTAGTTGTGTATCCAGCAGGACATTGGAGGTTTGAGCCTGCACAGGTACAGGGGGGGTGTGGGCAGCATTCCCTGTGGCTGTGGGATGGAGGGGCCTGATTTCAGTGCCCAGTGTGAGCTGGCAGCCCCTGGAGCTGCTCCTGGGCCGTGGTTGCCATGGCTGGCAGAGCAGACTCAGAGTTTGTGTGAGGCCAGTGTTTGCTCTGACCATGGCAGCAGGAGCCCAGAACCTCCAGCAGGGCTTCTGTCCTTTGTAAAGCTGAGTTCAGGTTTGTCACACCTGGGCCCATGGAATCTCAGAATCCCAGACTGGGTTGGGTGGAAAAGGACCTCAGAGCCCATCCAGTGCCACCCCTGCCATGGCAGAGACACCTCCCACTGTCCCAGGCTGCTCCAAACCCCAGGGATCTTCCAGGGGATCCAGGCTGGGCACCCTGTGCCAGGGCCTGCCCACCCTGCCAGGGCACAATTCCTCATTCCCAAGATCCCATCCAGCCCTGCCCTGTGGCACTGGGAGCCATTCCCTGGCTCCTGTCCCTCCAGGCCTTGTCCCCAGTCCCTCTGCAGCTCTCCTGGAGCCCCTTCAGGCCCTGGCAGTGGCTCCAGGCTCTGCCCAGAGCTCAGTTTTTCCCTTTCACCCCCCAGATCTGCACCCCCCAGGATTTGTGTGCTGAGAATCAGAAGCCCAGGCCGGAGCCATGGCAGGCAGCAGCACCTTGGGATGCCAGGATCCCAACTGGGTTGGGTGGGAAGGGAGCTCAGAGCCCCCCCAGTGCCAGCCCTGCCATGGCAGGGACAGCTCCCAGTGTGCCAGGGTGTGCCAGTGTCCAGCCTGGCCTTGGGCACTGCCAGGGATCCAGGCTGGGCACCCTGTGCCAGGGCCTGCCCACCCTGCCAGGGCACAATTCCCCATTCCCAATTTCCCATCCAGCCCTGCCCTCTGGCACTGGGAGCCATTCCCTGGCTCCTGTCCCTCCAGGCCTTGTCCCCAGTCCCTCTGCAGCTCTCCTGGAGCCCCTTCAGGCCCTGCCAGGGGCTCTGAGCTCTCCCTGGCTCCTTCTCCCCTCCAGGTGAGCACCCCCAGCTCTCCCAGCCTGGCTCCAGTCCTGGAGCAGCTCTGGTGGCTCCTCTGGGCTCTCTCCAGCAGCCCCAGGTCCTTGTGCTGTTGGAATGCCCAGGGCAGGTGGGCTCTCACCTGGGCACAGGGACAGAATCCCCCCTTTCCTGCTGCCCACACTGGGGGATCAGCCCAGGACTGGAGGTTTGGGGCTCTCATATCCAGCTGTCACCCCCCAACACCCCCAGGCTGCTCTAAGCAACAGGTGAGGGCTGGCAATGGGCAGGAAATGCAGAAGGGACCTGGGACCCGTGCTGTGCTGAAGGGTAGCAAACATTTCCATATCTGCATTGGAACATCTGGAGTTGATAAGGTTTTCCTAAGCCTGGCCAGTGCTCTTGCAGGTTTTCCTGTGAATTCCAGCTCGTCCTGCTGAAGGTGATAAATATCTTAGCCACACTTAATGAGGGAGTAATTTCATGCTCATCTTTAATTCATGAGCTCTTTCATTATCCCCCTGTGATGACGAGATGTCTGTTCTTCAGCCAGTCAGGTTTTCTACCCGTTGCCCTCTCCAGCTCTTTCCTGAAGTGAATTTTCCTGGAAACCTCCCCATGTCTGTTTTCTGGGAAGCCTTTGTGTTTCTGCTGTTTATTGTCAACAGCCTGGCTGGCCAGGCACGGCAGGCAGGCAGGAGTCTCCTTTTGCCAGTGTTTTGGATCTCCTCTGGAAGTGTTTCCAGGGAAATGCATTGCTATTTATAACAACCTTGCTGCTCTGAAGGCTGAACTGGTATTATATTGGAATGGGAGCTGAGTATAACATGGGATTAGAGATTTATTTTATCCCTAAATACTGGAGTTGGCTAAATCCCTCACAGTGCAGAGAAGAGTTAATTTCCTTGGCTGGGTTAATAATTTACTTTATCTTAACACATAAAAAGTGGCTCTCAAACACTCTGCTGCACCTGGGCACAGCCCAGAGGTAACTGTCACCATATAAAATATTTCATTTACATGTTTGGTGTTCGTTTGTTTGGTTGTGTTGCTGGGCACACGACGTGGCAGCAAACAACTCCCTGAAATGCTGAAAACAATACAGGGCTGGGTGGATGTGGGGCAGTTTTGTATCTTGGCAATCAATCTTTGGGCAGGTTTATATTTCCAGTCACGTTTGTGTGAGAGTTCCTACATTGATTCATCAGTGAAACCTGATGTGAGGGATGCAGCAGTGCTGGAGAACAAAGGAGCACTGCCCTGGGATGGGTGGGAGGTCCCAGGCTGCCATCCTGGGATTAATGCACAGCCTTGGCCCAGAATAAATCCCAGAATAAATCCCAGAATTCCTCAGCTCAGAAAAACCCTGCAGGACCATCAAATCCCAGCTGTGCCCAATGCCCACCTTGTCCCCAGCCCAGAGCCCTGAGTGCCACATCCAGGCCTTGCTGGGACCCCTCCAGGGATGTCCAGAACTGGGAATTTCTGAGCTGGGTCATGTCCAGCTCTCAGCCCAACAAGTTCTGTGTGCTGGGTGTTGGCTAAGAGGAGTTCAAGGCACAGCTCCCATGCAAACTCCTTATGTAATGATGCATTTCACAAATTCTGTTTAATCTTGCTTGGTATAAAGTGACCTTGTAGATTTGGGAGGGAAGTTTGGGCTTGCAGCTGCTGCCTTTTAAAAAGTCTAAATATAAGCAGGCTTTTGGAAAGCATGAGGAATGATCAGTGCTGCTCTCTGATTGGATTTGAAAGCCAGGATGGTGGCATCTAATTAATGTCAGAGCAGTTGGAGGGGATGGTTTGGAGTGTTCCTGCTGCTCTGGTGTAGCTCTGCTGTAATTCTTGGAGGCAGCTTTGGGAAGGGAAGCTTGGACTTGGGGCAGCTCTGGGTGGAAAGACCTGGAGGGGCTGAGGGAGCTGGGCAGGGAATGGAGCCCCAGGAGGGGCTGAGGGAGCTGGGCAGGGAATGGAGCCCCAGGAGGGGCTGAGGGAGCTGGGCAGGGAATGGAGCCCCAGGAGGGGCTGAGGGAGCTGGGCAGGGAATGGAGCCCCAGGAGGGGCTGAGGGAGCTGGGCAGGGAATGGAGCCCCAGCAGGGGCTGAGGGAGCTGGGCAGGGAATGGAGCCCCAGCAGGGGCTGAGGGAGCTGGGCAGGGAATGGAGCCCCAGGAGGGGCTGAGGGAGCTGGGCAGGGAATGGAGCCCCAGCAGGGGCTGAGGGAGCTGGGCAGGGGCTCAGCCTGGAGCAAAGGAGGCTCAGGGGGCCCTTGTGGCTCTGCACAAGTCCCTGCCAGGAGGGCACAGCCAGGGGGGGTCGGGCTCTGCTCCCAGGGAACAGGGACAGGACAAGGGGAAATGGCCTCAGGCTGGGCCAGGGCAGGCTCAGGGTGGACACCAGGAGGAATTTCTGCATGGAAAGGGGGCTCAGGCCTTGGCAGGGGCTGCCCAGGGGGGTTTGGGGTGCCCATCCCTGCAGGGCTTTAGCAGCTGTGTGGATGTGGCACTTGGGCACTTTCTGGGTGGGTATTGAAAGTAAAATCCTTGTTCATGGTTTGTGCTGGGCTGAGCTCTCAGGGCCTTGCTGACACTTCTGCCAGGGCCTGGCTTTGGCTTTCCCATACCCAAGGCTGAGGCAGGGATGGCTCTGGACAAGGAGACCAAGCTCTGATCATTCTCCTTTCCTTGCTGGTTAAAGCTCTGAGTGGCTGGAACTGTTCTGCATCCCTGTGGAAGCTCAGGGGTGTGGAGTGAGGTGCCAGAGCTCCAGGACAGCACTCTTAGGTACAGGGGGGATTGTTGGGGTGTCCTGGGCAGGAGTTGGATTGGATGGGGATTTTTAAGGAGTTTGGAATAAGTTAGTGACAGGACTTCTGAGTTTCTAGATGAGGTTATTTATTGTTCTTATTTTTTACATAGACAGGAAGGGTGAGTTTGGCTTCCATTGTTATAGCAGGGCTCAGAAGGTCTCAAGACCTTTAGTTACAAGACTTTTTAAGGAGTTATTGACTAATAAAACCCTGCTAATAAGGATACTTCTGTTTTTGACCCAATCCTTAAATATTTTGTCTTCTGGACTCATGCTACAGTGTAAGCTTCCTTAGCTAATTATGACACACAAACTTCCAGTACTGCATTCTACCTTTGTTTACCTTTGTCACTACTTTATTATTTTATATCTTAAACTCTAAACATCTGAACTTTCTGAGACACTGTGTGTCTCTGCTTTAAACTATAAATCCACATTCTTGCTTTCAGCACTTAAGTTTGGAAGCCTTTCCCAAGGTTTCAGATCAAATCCTGTGTTTAATTCTGAGTTTTGGCTCACAGACCCAGAGTTCTGAGAGTTCCCTGCATTTTGGATGCCAGCAATGGGTGATCCCTGGGGCTCCTCCCTGCTCAGGGTGTTCCAGAGCAGGTCCCTGGGGCCCTGGCTGTGCTCTGTCCCAGCTCCCTTCCCATCTCAGTGCCCCTGCACATCCCTGCTTTACCTGGCAGCTCAGTGGAAGAGGAAAAAAGCTGCTCTTCTGTCTCAGCTGTACAGAGTTCATGTGGAATTGATTTTTTTTTTAATAACTAAACACTAATTCCTTATTTATGTGTTTGTTTCTTTTAGGGATAGACTTCAAGATTAAAACTGTTGAATTGCAAGGAAAGAAGATCAAGCTACAGATCTGGTGAGTAACACAGAGCTTCCTTCAGCAGCAGGTGTTCCTGGGCACAGTTTGCTCTTGCTGGGTTCCCTTCAGGGCTGCAGGTTTGCAGCTGTTGTGTGTTCCACAGGGCTAACTCCACTCCATGTGTGTGTCTGCAGCAGTAGCTGTGCTTGTAACCACTGGGCCTGGCTGCTCCCTGGGACAGGCTGCTGGCAAACCTCCTGTTTGAGGGGGGGAGAGCATCCTCACAGCCTGTGATTTAGTGGGAAGTGCTTTAAAACTGGAATTTGTAAATTAGGACTTGCCTCCAGTCTGTGCCTATAAATTGACTGGGAGCCTTGCTTTGTGTCAGCAAGAAAATGCAATCCAGGGCTGCACTAAGGCTGGAATTTTCCATGCTCAGCTGTGGAGAGCTTCTCAGCTGGCAGGAGCACAGCTGCTCTGTGGGGATGTCTGACAAGAGGCAAAGCCTCAGCTCCTTCCTTTGAGCTTCCTTTGAACCAGAGCTTTTCACCAGGTCAGCTCAGCAGAGCCAGTGGCTTTTCCTGGCCCACGGGGCTGCCTGGGCTCCTGCTCACTCTGCACTCTCCAAGGGCTCTGAGCTGGGATTTGTCCCTTTTGTGCCACTCACAACAACCCCATGGCTTCATAACCTTGGTGTCTGTACATACAGGGGGCTGAGTTCCAGTTTTGGGGGACACTGATCCTTCCAATCATCCCAGAATAATAATCCCAGGATAATCATGAGTGATCTCCTTCCTAACCAGCATCTGGAGCCCTCCTGTCAGCAGCACCCTGAGGAAGTGTTAGAACTGACAGAGAGCAGGTTTGGATGGGATCTTGGGAATGAGGAACTGTGCCCTGGCAGGGTGGGCAGGCCCTGGCACAGGGTGCCCACCCTGGATCCCTGGCAGTGCCCAAGGCCAGGCTGGACACTGGGGCTGGGAGCAGCCTGGGACAGTGGAAATGTCCCTGCCATGGACAGGATGAGCCTTTAGGTCCTTTCCAGCCCAAACCATTCCATGACTCTATGATTAAACTGAATAAGAAAATCATCATGAAATGTAAAACCAGAAAATATTGAAAAATGAGGATATTTAGGTATAAAGAGCAAGATGTAATGAAACTGTACAGATTGTGGTGTTTAGTGCCTTGGGGAAGTGGAGTTGGGTGAGCTGAGATTTACACAGTGGCAACTTTTAAATATCACAAAATTGGGAAGTTGTGGCCTGAATCTGCTGCTTGTTTCTGCTGGGTTCAGGTTGCACATTTGAAATGAAACTTGGGAAGCAGAAAACGAAACTCCCACAGAAAAAAAAAAAAAAAAAAAAAAGAAATCTCAGTGTTGTGTTTGCCACTTCTCCTGTACAGGAGTTTTCCCAGCAGTGGCTCAGTGTCCTTGGAGGTGTTTTGTGCAGTGCATTTCTATTTCCCCACTGCTTCCTGCCTTGGAACTCACTCCACACTTGCAGGAGCTGTGCAGCATTCCCAGAACAATGCAAGGCAGCAGCTGAATGAGCAGGGGATGGATTCAGGGGAACATTTCCTGTGTAAAGGCTGCTCTGGATCTGCAGTTGGTTTTGTTAAACCTCAGGAGATCCCCATGGGCCACTTCTGGAGTCCCTCTGTTTGGCCCTGTCCTTCAGGTGTGACACCACACAGCACAACAGCTCCTTGCCTCCTCCTGGCTGTGCAAAAGGGCCCTCTGACAGTCTCACTGACCTCTGAAATTATATTTAGGACTAAGGCAAGAACACAAAGGTCAGGCTGAATTCAAACCTGCCTGGGGTGAGAAGTAACTCAATACTCAGGAGCTGGGGTGCAGCTCTGTAAGGAGCAGGCTGGATCAGAGCTCTCCTGCTGCTCCAGATGGAAATGTGCCTGCAAGGAGCAGTGAGGGACACAGCCCTGGCCTGGCCTTCCAAAGAAATGACCTCATCCAGGGCAGATCCACCAGGATGTCCAGGTTCTCCACCAGGGGAACCACTGCATGTCAGATTGTGGCTGCAAGCAATCCAGGAGCTGAGGATCTCCTTGGCTGGGTTATTTCCAGCTCTGGGACAGTCACTAGTGATGAGTCCTCTCTCTCCAGGAGCTGTGAGAAAGGAATTCATGCACATTTGGGACTGGAAACACTTGCAAAGTCTGGGAACTGGAGGGGTTTGCAGTGCTGAATGGCTGGAAGGTGATTCACACTCCTGGTGCAGGGAAGGAATGAAGGACCAGAGTGAGAGATCCAGGAGAGGATGGTGCTGGCTTTGCTGAAGGACTTCAGAGGGACAGGGTAGTGGAGCTAAAACTTGAGTGTGATACCACACATTGAAATGGAAACCAAAAGGCTTTGGGGTTCCCAGAAGTGATGAACATCATGGAGCCATTGGGAAATGAAATGGGGTTTTCCTGGGCAGGAAGTGAGTGTGGCAGTCCCACACAGCACAGGTTGGATCAGCACTGCCTGGGGAGAAAGGGACTTTTTTAGGGAAAACAACTGGAAAAATGGGGGTTCTTCATGGTGTCAGAGCGCATCTTGAAAATCCTGGATATCCTGAACGGGTAGGGAGGGTCTGAGAGAACTTGCTGCCTTTTTCCACCACCAGAACATCAGTTCTGGCCTGAGGCTGCAAAGTGGCACGTGGAAAGCACCAGGAAATGAAGTTTTGCTGGGAAACTCCTCATGGGATGTAGGGGTAGCTGCAGGTGTCCATGGACAGGTTCCTAAGGGATTTCACAAGAGCCTGGTCAGGTTTGGACTCTCCAATCCACAGAGGGGATCCCTGGTTCCAGAATTCTTTAATCTTTAGGAAATGGAAGCTGGAAAACCTCTGGGCTGCCCAGGTGCAGCTCTGAGGGGCTTCAGGAGGCACCAGAAGCAGAGCTGGGTTTGTCATCCAGGCAAAGCACAGGCTCAGAGGAATGGAACTGGCAGCTAAAAATCTAATTTTTCTTTTTTTTTTCCTACTTAGCTGCTCCTCCAGCTCTCCTGTCTTTAATGACATTTGTGTGTCAGCCTGTTTTCCTACAGTCTTCCTGACTGATTCCAAATTTTAGGAGCAGCTTTATGTCTTTAGTGTGCAGCTCCTAGCTGTGTGGAGAACTCTAAAATAACATTTTTTCTCCCAGTACATCTCTGCTGGCAACACATTTACATGGCCAGAGAAGTGTCCTCAGGATCTTGGTTGATTCAGCAGTGAGCTGGTGTCAGAAATAAGCCATCCTGAGTCCTCCCAGGTGTGGGAATTCCCTTGGATGTGCAGCTTCTGCTGTTTAGGGAGTGTGGTGGTGACCAGAGCTGCACACACCTCCACTCCCCAGGTGCCCTCAGCCTCATTAATTTCTGCAATTACCCCTAGAATGGCTAGGAGTGAATTCTGTTTGCTGAATGATGTTCCTCTGGCATGGCAGTCCCATAAAACAATTGGAGAATTCACTTGTTTTGGATTTCCCATGATGGAAGCTGGGGGTGCCATGGAGAGAAGGAGACTCAGGGGTGCCCCCATCCATCACCCCCCACACCCCCTGAAAGGTGCCTGTGCTCAGCTGGGGCTGGGCTCTTTCTCCAGCAGCACTGGCACAACCAGAGCTCACAGCCTCGAGCTGCACCAAGGGCAATTTAGGCTGGATATCAGGAAAAAGTTCTGTACAGAAAGGGTGATAAAGTTCTGGAATGTTCTGCCCAGGGAGGTGGTGGAGTCCCCATGCCTGGGTGTGTTTAACAAAGCCTGGATGTGGCACTGAGGGCCAGGGTTGAGCTGTTGGGGATGGCTTGGACTTGGTGGTCTTGAAGATCTTTTCCAACCTGGTCATTCTGGGAATTCTGAGAATTTGGGGCCTTTGGGAATTCCCAGGGACCAGGGAGGTGGTGCAGTCCCCATCCCTGGATGTGTCACTGGGTGCCAGGGTTTAACTGAGGTGTTGGGGCTGGATTGGACTCCATGATCTTGAAGGTCTCTTCCAACCTGGTCATTCTGGGAATTCTGGGCATTTTTTTTTTCCTTGCTGAGTATTATTCAGAAAAGCTGAAATTTGCCAGTCATGAAATACCTGAAAGAGCACAGAACCCCAGGATCACTGAGGTGGGAAAATCCCTCCATGGCCATGGAGTCCATGGGAAAATCCCTCCATGGCCATGGAGTCCATGGGAAAATCCCTCCATGGCCATGGAGTCCATGGGAAAATCCCTCCATGGCCATGGAATCCATGGGAAAATCCCTCCATGGCCATGGAGTCCATGAGAAAATCCCTCCATGGCCATGGAGTGCAGCTGTGCCCAATGCCCACCTTGTCCCCAGCCCAGAGCTCTGAGTGCCATATCCAGGCCTTGCTGGGGCCCCTGCAGGGGTGGACATTCCAAGCCCCCTTCCAAGGCCTGAGCACCCTTTCCATGGATCCAGCCTGCCCAGATCCCTCTGCAGAGCTTCCTGCCCCCCAGCACATCCTCCCATGCAGGGTACCCTGGCTGAGGGTGCCCTGAGTGCCCTCCCAGCCCATCCATGAAGGTGTTGGGCAGGACTGAGCCAGCCCTGAGCCCCCTGGTGCCCGTGCCCAGCTGGATGTGCCTCCATGCCCAGCTTTCTCCAGCCAGGAATGCTGAGCCAGGGACACTTTGGGAAGGGAAATCCTCAGCCTGGTGTTCCCCAGTCTCTCCAGTGCAGCACTGAGCTGCAAATGTAACAACATTGGGACAGTAATAAAATTCTTGGGGTTATTTGCTAGGAATTACTTGCTTTCATATGTTGAAGAGCTTCATTTTGAGCCACGTGGATTGGCAGGATGCTCACAAATCACCAGATCTAAATCTCTTCTTGCTGCAGCCATGTAAATCTTTCATCAATAAATCATAATGCATTTTAAGGTTTCTTCAGTCTCTGCCAGGTCAGCTGGAAAGCTGTCCCAGAAATTCCTTTCTCTCCAGGTTAAACCTCTAATATGATACAGCTTATGCATATTTTAATGTTGGCATGAGAATAATTCAAATAGATTTTTCACTTTCCTTGAGCATCTCCTTTCCCCAGTCCCACAGGACAGCCTCGTTTGTCTTCACAAAGCTGAACATCCAAGCTCCCTCCCTTTCCAGCTCTGTTTCATTCTCCCTGGCTGTTTCAATAATCCTTGCCCACATTCATGGCAGCTGGGAGTGTGAGCCAGTTTGTGCCTACACCCAGAGGTTTGAACAAAGGGCTGGGAGCCAGGGCTGCAAACATCCCCTGCGTGCCCCCAGTGTCTGCTGCAGTTTGCCCAGGGTGGATCCAGGCCTCGTGGGCACCCAGAGAGCCATAACTCATTTCCTGTTTGCCTCAGCCAGCTCTAATCTCCAGCCATTAGGAGTTATCTCTGAATAATGAATGGAGAGCCCATTAACCAGGGGAAAGGGCAGAGCTATAGCATCTATTTCAAAAAAAAAATGAAAAGGGAAACACTCCAGGTTCTTTGCTTCTTCCCTCCCCAGCATTCTTCTCTTCCATTAGCTGAGCTCCAGTTGCCAGAAAAAGCCGTGGAGGAGTTAACCAGGGAGTCAGCTGTAGGATGTGACAAGCAGTGAGTAGCAGCTCCGTGCTGCCTACTCCAAGTTGGTGTAAAACCACTCAGAATTGTTCCTGTGACAGCTGCTGGCCGTGGCAGGAGGGAGGAATCACAGATCCCAAAAATCTGCTGGGGTTGGTCAGGCTCCTCCAGCACTGTCCTGCTTGGTAGGAGCCAGTGGGAGGGAAGGTGCTGGAGAGTGGGTACAGAGAAAATAATGAGGGTGTGAGTGGAGATACTTTGCAGGAGTTTGTCCTGAGTGAAGGAAGGGATCCCTTTCTCTCTCTCTCTCTGGGATATGCTAGGAAAGCCATCAATTAAATAATTTAATTCCTCCAAATCACTTCATGGAATCCCAGAATTGTTTGGGTGGGAAGGGACCTTAAAGCCCATCTCATTCCCACCCCTGCCATGGCAGGGACACCTCCCACTGTCCCAGGGTGTCCCAGTGTCCAGCCTGGCCTTGGGCACTGCCAGGGACCCAGGGTGGGCACCCTGTGCCAGGGCCTGCCCACCCTGCCAGGGAAGAGTTAACACTGGGACAAAGGGAGAGACTCTGGGTCTTTTATGGGAGATAAACCAGAAAAGGTGAAGCTGTAAAGTTTAAATCCAGTCAAGGAGTGGATTTAAACTAATAATAATTCCAGCTGCTCTCAGCCAGCTGGAGAAATGTCACTGGAAAAAGTCCTGTGAAATTCAGTGCAGCCAAATGCCAAGTCCTGGACTTCAGTGTGGGATGTCAGAGCTCCTGGTGGGGCCAGGAGTGGGGTGAGGAAACCTGGAAATGTCCCAGTGTGGGGCTGCTGAGGCTCCAGCTGAGTGTCCTGGGTGTTTCTGGGACATGGGCACTGGGAAGAGTCCAGGGGCAGTGGGAGCTGGGGCTGTACCTGAGCCCTTTGGCCAATCACACCAGGCTGGGGAAGGTTCCAGAAGCACAGCAGCCATGTCAGGCACAGTGTGGGATCCCTGGGTGCTTTGTGGAGCTGGGAGTGGGGTCAGGGACCTTCTGAGGCCACAGGCAGAGATCCAGGCCTGGCAGGACATCCCTGGCAGAGGCTGCTGGGGTTTGGGACCTGCCTGTCCCCTCCTCTGCTCCTTGGCCTTGTCCTGGTGTCACCAGGAGCAAGCAGATGGACATCAGTGGCTGAGTGTGCTGGGTTGTGAGCCAGGAGCTGGGGGCCAGGGACACACTGGGCCTTTCTGGAGGGGTTATGAGTGTGGAACCTTGCTTGAGTCCAGTTTAAATTTGGGGACACCTTGGAGTCTACCTTGTCATGGAATAACTGAATCATAGACTGGTTTGGGCTGGAAGGGACCTTAAAGTTCATCCAGTGCCACCCCTGCCATGGCAGGGACACTTCCCATGTCCCAGGCTGCTCCAAGCCCTGGCCTTGGGCACTGCCAGGGATCCAGGCTGGGCACCCTGTGCCAGGGCACAATTCCTCATTCCCAAGATCCCATCCATCCCTGCCTTCTGGCACTGGGAGCCATTCCCTGGCTCCTGTCCCTGCAGGCCTTGTCCCCAGTCCCTCTGCAGCTCTCCTGGAGCCCCTTCAGGCCCTGGCAGTGGCTCCAGGCTCTGCCCAGAGCTCAGTTTTTCCCTTTCACCCCCCAGATCTGCACCCCCCAGGATTTGTGTGCTGAGAATCAGAAGCCCAGGCCGGAGCCATGGCAGGCAGCAGCACCTTGGGATGCCAGGATCCCAACTGGGTTGGGTGGGAAGGGAGCTCAGAGCCCCCCCAGTGCCAGCCCTGCCGTGGCAGGGACAGCTCCCAGTGTGCCAGGGTGTGCCAGTGTCCAGCCTGGCCTTGGGCACTGCCAGGGATCCAGGCTGGGCACCCTGTGCCAGGGCCTGCCCACCCTGCCAGGGAACAATTCCCAATTCCCAAGATCCCATCCAGCCCTGCCCTGTGGCACTGGGAGCCATTCCCTGGCTCCTGTCCCTGCAGGCCTTGTCCCCAGTCCCTCTGCAGCTCTCCTGGAGCCCCTTCAGGCCCTGCCAGGGGCTCTGAGCTCTCCCTGGCTCCTTCTCCTCTCCAGGTGAGCACCCCCAGCTCTCCCAGCCTGGCTCCAGCCCTGGAGCAGCTCCATGGCCTCCTCTGGGCTCTCTCCAGCAGCTCCATGTCCCTGTCACATGAACGATGTCACTGCAAACTGTGTGTAAAGCTCCAATCTCTGGGGTTTGTGGCCTCTGAAAGACACTGCAGAATGTGCAGTTAATTCCTTCTCATTAATTCTCATTTATTGTCAATATTCAGCTCATTCCCAGGTTTTTTTAAGCACATCTCATCCAAAATCCCAGGAGCTAATGGCAATTCCAGGCTGTCACTGATGTTTTGTGATCAGTTTTCAGCATATTGCTCACACACCAACATTTAACAGCACAGCTGGAGTGATGTTCCACAGCCTTTGATCAGAAATGGCAGAATTTACATTTGCAGGATCGAGTTAAACAAATTAAAAAAAAAGTTTTACAGTTTTATCAGGCTGATCTGAGAACAAAATTCCTCTTAGGGTTAAGTGTGAGTCCCAAAAAGTGTTGGGTTCTTGTCTCTGTGGATCCACCCTGCTCTGTCTGTGCCATATGTGCTGTTACTTACAAGTAAAATATTATTTATATTTTATTTATATTATTGATATTATTTATATTTTATTTATATCATTTATTATTTACCTTATAAAATCAAGCCTTACTAATTCAACTAAACTAACAACTAACCTAAAAAGTTGCTGTTAAAAAATCGTAAAAATAAAAATCAATTTACATAACAATCCATTCTTATTAAAAAATACTCACCTATAAAAAAGAAAATTGTACCCATATAAAACACTCACTTTCCAAAGAACTAAAAATGTAAACTACCTAAAAAAATTAATACAAGCATACACTACTACCAACCAATAAACAAAATAAACCAAGTTTCAATAAATTACTAACCACTTAAATTCAAACCCAATGCCTTCTAATATTCTTATAAATGTCAACTATTAAAATAAAAATAAAATAAACTATTAAAAGAAATAAAGATTTAAATGAAGTAAATTTAAAAAATTTAAATTTTATTACAACTATGTAAATAAAAATTTAAAAATTGTAATACAACTATGTAAATAAAAGTTTTAAAAATTAAATTTTTAAAAAATTTCTTAAAATTGTGTAAATAAAAATGTTTAAAATTATATTAAAACTATTTAAATTTTTTTAAAATTATATTATAACTATGTAAATAAATATTTTTTAAATTGTATTAAAACTATGTAAATAATTTTTTAAAAGTGTATTAAAGCAATGTCAATAAAATTTTTAAAATTATGTTACAACTATGTAAATAAAAATTTTAAAATGTTATAAAACCATGTAAGTAAAATTTTTAAAGTTACATTTTTAAAAATTATCTTAAATTTATGTAAGTAAAAATGTTTAACATTATATTAAAACTATTTGAACAAAATTTTTAAATTATATTAGATCTATGCAAACAAAATTTTTAAAAATTTATTAAAGCTATGTAAATAAATTTTTTTAAAATTATGTTTAATCTATGTAAATAAAAATTATATTACAATTATGTAAATATTTTTAATTTATTAACACTATGTAAATCAAATTTTTTAAAATTATATTACAACTATGTAAATAAAATAATTTAAAATTATAATAAAACTATGTAAATAAATTTTTTACAATTTATTAGAACTATGTAAATAAAATTTTTTAAAATTATATTAAAGCTATGTAAAAATTTTTAAATTATATTAAAGCTATGTAAAATTTTTTAAAATTATATTAAAATAATATAAATAAAACATTTTAAAATTATATTTTAATTATGTAAATATAATTTTTAAAAATTTATTAAAACCAGGTAAATAAAATTTTGAAAAATTATATTACTACTATGGAAATGAAAATTTAATAAATTATATTTAAACTACGTAAATAAAAAATTTAACATTTATTAAAACTGTAAATATAAAATTTAAAAATTATATTAAAGCTATGTAAATAATTTTTTTAAATTATATTACAACTGTGTTATATAATTTTAAAAAAATTTTTATAAGCATATAAATAAAAATTTTAAAAATGAAATTTAAAAAAAAATCTTAAAAATATGTAAATAAAAATGTCTACAATTATATGAAAACTATATAAATAAAAATTTAGAAATTATAGTAAAACTATGTAAACAACTTTTTAAATTTATTTAAACCATGTAAATAAAAATTTTAAATTTTTTTTAATTAAAAATGCTTTAAAAATAAAACTATTCTACATAAGAGCAATGGCTTGTCCATGTCCCTGAGGAGCCTGTGGTGTTTCCCCAGGGACACGGCGGGGCAGGAGCGCTTCCACACCATCACCACCTCCTACTACCGAGGGGCCATGGGCATCATGCTGGTCTACGACATCACCAACGCCAAGAGCTTCGAGAACATCAGCAAGTGGCTCAGGAACATCGACGAGGTGAGTGCCACAGCTGGGCCACACACCCCAAACCGGGGCCAGACAACCCAAATCTGGGCCAGACACCACAAACCTGGGCCACACACCCCAAACCGGGGCCAGACATGAGCCAAACCTGAGCCAGACACCCCAAACGTGAGCAAGGCATCCCCACACCTGGGCCACACAGCCCAAACTGGGGCCACACACCCCAAACCGGGGCCAGACACCCCAAACTGGGGCCACACACCCCAAACCGGGGGCACACAGCCCAAACTGGGGCCACACACCCCAAACCGGGGGCACACAGCCCAAACTGGGGCCAGACACCCCAAACTGGGGCCACACACCTCAAACCGGGGCCAGACCTCCCAAACCTGAGCCAGACACCTCAAACCTGGGCCAGACACCCCAAACCGAGGCCAGACACCTCAAATGTGAACCAAACATGAGCCAAACCTGAGCCAGACACCCCAAACATGAGCCAGGGATCCCCACACCTGAGCCAGACATGATCCAAACCTGAGCCAGACATCCCAAACCTGAGCCAGACATCACAAACCTGAGCCAAACCTGAGCCAGACATCCCACACCTGAGCCAGACACCTCAAACGTGAGCCAGGCATCCCCAAACGTGTGCCAGACACCCCACACCTGAGCCAAACATGAGCCAAACCTGAGCCAGATATCCCAAACGTGAGCCAGACACCCCAAACATGTGCCAGGCATCCCCAAACCTGAGCCAGACACCCCAAACGTGAGCCAGGCATCCCCAAACGTGTGCCAGACACCTCAGACATGAGGCAGGGATCCCCACACCTGAGCCAGACATGATCCAAACCTGAGCCAGACATCCCAAACCTGAGCCAGACACCCCAAACATGTGCCAGGCATCCCCACACCTGAGCCAGACACCCCAAACCTGAGCCAGACACCCTACACCTGAGCCAAACATGAGCCAAACCTGAGCCAGACATCCCAAACCTGAGCCAGACACCCCAAACATGTGCCAGGCATCCCCACACCTGAGCCAGACACCCCAAACCTGAGCCAGACACCCTACACCTGAGCCAAACATGATCCAAACCTGAGCCAGACATCCCAAACCTGAGCCAGACACCCCAAACCTGAGCCAGACACCCTACACCTGAGCCAAGCATCCCCAAACCTGAGCCAGTCATTCCACACCTGAGCTCCTGTGTGTGGTGTTTTCAAGGTCCCCCATCAGAAGAGGAAGGAATGATGAATCTGACTCCATGTTCTTAGAAGGCTAATTTATTATCATATCATATTATATCATATGTCATATATCATATCATCATATCATCATATCATATATTATGCTAAAGAACAGAGAAAGGATACTTACAGAAGGTTTAACAAGATACTAATGAAAAACTCGTGACTCTCTCCTCAGAGTCTGACACAGCTGGCTGTGAGTGGTCATTAAGTCAGAACAATTCACATGAAACCAATAGAACAGTTTGTCCCTCACCCTTGTTGTCCCTCACCCTTGTTGTCCCTCACCCTCGTTGTCCCTCACCCTTGTTGTCCCTCAGCCCATGGATCCAGGCTGTCCTGGTCCCTCTCAGAGCCCCCTGTCCCCAGCAGATCCACATCCCCCCCTGGGGCTGTCCCTGAGCTGGGCCAGGCTGGTGCCCTCCATGCCCTGAAGGTGTTGGGCAGGACTGAGCCAGCCCTGAGTGCCCTGGTGCCCGTGCCCAGCTGGATGTGCCTCCCTGCCCAGGTCTATCCCAGCAGAGTGCACCTATCTAAGCCAGGATCAGCCAGTTTCTGCAGAGAATGCCATGGGAGAAGGTGCCAAAGGCTTTAGCAAAGCCCAGGCTTTGCATCCACAGCCTTTCCCTCCTCCATTAAGGTCACAGTGTCACAGAAGGAGATCAGGGTGGGCCAGCAGGACCTGTCACAAAGCCAGACTGGCTGGGCCTGATCTACTGCTTGTCCTGCACGTGCTGTGTGTGATCACAGCCCAGGTGATCTGCTCCAGGACCCTCCCCAGCTCCTGGAGTTCCTTCAGTACTTCCTGGAGCCTGGAATCATCATAATTCCCTGCAGGCTGCCCAGGCAGGGGTGGAGTCCCCATCTCTGAGGGATTTAAAAGCTGTGTGGATGTGGCACTTGTGCTGGCCAACCTGCAGTGAGACAGGACCTCCCCAGCTCCCCAGGACTGATGAGAAATGATCCATATTGCCCCTCCAGAGAGGCCTGTGCTGCAGGGAATGGATCTGGGCTGGATCTGGGATTCCTCATCCCCGCCAGGCTGGCACTGCATCCTCCTGCCCCACACCTTGAGGGAACAGCAACCCCTCCCCTCCCTGCTCCCTTTGGAGACCCTGCCCTGTTCTCTGGTTTCTGGTTCCCTTCTCTCATTTCTTTCTTTGGGTCCTGCCCCCTGTTTTCCTCCCCAGTCCCTTTTTCTCCCCTGGCTCATCCCTCACATTGTGCAGTGACAAAGTGGAGAGGAAAAAAAAACCATTAACCAGTGCTAGGAAGTCATTAGAGGCTGGGGTTAATGAACAGCTTGTTGCTCTGCCACTGCAGTGCATGGAGCTCCATTGTGGGCAGCTGTAAATGTCCCCAAATTGCAGGTGCAGGTGGTGGCCTGGCCACACCAAAGTGAAGCAGGTATTTTGGGTGTGAGGGGGACATGTGTGACCCTGTAACCCTGTCCCTGTGTCCTTCCAGCATGCCAACGAGGATGTGGAGAGGATGCTGCTAGGAAACAAGTGTGACATGGAAGATAAAAGAGTTGTCCCTAAAGCAAAAGGTGAACAGGTGAGTATCCAACAAAAACTTCTTTATCCAAGTCAGCAAATCACTGCCAAGACTTCTGCCTGCTCCAGGGGGTTGGGATGCCCCAGTGGGGTGTGCCAGGGAATGAATGCAGGAGCTGATGGATGTGAATCCTGGGAATGTTTGCTCAAAAACTGCCATGAATGGAGTGAGCTCAGCTGCAGTTTCTACTTCTTTTGAGAACTCAAAGTTCCCAGACATCCCTGAAATTCCTCACAGTGTCACAGTGTGTGGTGTCTGTCCTCTTAGGCCCAGACACAGACTGGGGATTATTTAGTAGATTTTAATTGTTCTGAGTTGTGACATTCTGAATCTTCTGAGCCACCTTACCTGGATGGTGCTGCTGGTGCCAGTTGGAAGGAAGACACAGAATCCCAGGATCCCTGAGGCTGGAAAATCCCTCCCAGCCCATCCAGTCCCAGCTGTGCCCAATGCCCACCTTGTCCCCAGCCCAGGGCACTCAGTGCCACATCCAGGTGACACCTGCAGGGATGGGCACCCCAAACCTCCCTGGGCAGCCCCTGCCAAGGCCTGAGCCCCCTTTCCATGCAGAAATTCCTCCTGGTGTCCACCCTGAGCCTGCCCTGGCCCAGCCTGAGGCCATTTCCCCTTGTCCTGTCCCTGTTCCCTGGGAGCAGAGCCCGACCCCCCTGGCTGTGCCCTCCTGGCAGGGACTTGTGCAGAGCCACAAGGGCCCCCTGAGCCTCCTTTGCTCCAGGCTGAGCCCCTGCCCAGCTCCCTCAGCCCCTCCTGGGGCTCCATTCCCTGCCCAGCTCCCTCAGCCCCTCCTGGGGCTCCATTCCCTGCCCAGCTCCCTCAGCCCCTCCTGGGGCTCCATTCCCTGCCCAGCTCCCTCAGCCCCTGCTGGGGCTCCATTCCCTGCCCAGCTCCCTCAGCCCCTCCTGGGGCTCCATTCCCTGCCCAGCTCCCTCAGCCCCTCCTGGGGCTCCATTCCCTGCCCAGCTCCCTCAGCCCCTCCTGGGGCTCCATTCCCTGCCCAGCTCCAGCCCCTGCAGGTCTCTCGTGTCAGGAGGGGCCCAGAGCTGCCCCCAGCCCTGGAGGTGCCCCAGCAGTGCCAGCACAGGGGACGGGCACTGCCCTGGCCCTGCTGGCACAGCCCAGGGGCCATTGGCACCCCTGGCTTCATGTCCAGTCCAGTATTCCCTGCTTTATAAAAGCTGCTGATCCCAAAGTGGTGGTGGCACCACTGGAGCATGCCCAGCCTCTCTAACCTCCCTCTCTCTGTTTGCTGCAGATTGCCAGGGAGCACGGTATTAGGTTTTTTGAAACTAGTGCAAAAGCAAATATAAACATTGAGAAGGCATTCCTCACATTAGCAGAAGACATTCTTCGAAAGGTAGGTGCTCACAGCATTCCTTTGGAACAAATTTCCTGAAATTCCAGCTCTCCTGTTGTGATGTTCACCTGGATGGTTGCACTTTGACTTTGCTGTGCTGAGGCAGAGCAGTCCCTGAAGGAGCAGGGCTGAACTTCTGTAGCTTGTTTGATGTTTTGTTGTTGTAGGGGGCCTGCCTACAGGGAGTAACCTCCATCAGAGCCAAGGAACTGAAATTCCTGTTTGTTTGGCCCTTACACTCATGGTTGTTGTGCCTGTGCTGGAGTGAAATGTTTCCATTGGTGTGGAGAGAATTCTCCTTTCCTGCCACTGTGTCTGTCCATGCACTGACAGCTCCTGAGGGGCTCTTGGGAAGAGTTCAGGAGTGGAGGGTGGGGCAGGACCGAGCTCTGCCACTCCCAGCTGTGGTCCCAGCCATGGCATTTCCTTGGGGCTTCCACTGCCCCACATCATCTTCCTGAGAGGTGCAGTGAACCAATGAACCATGGAATCAGTGAGGCTGGAAAAGCTTCCTGAGAGCACCAAGTCAAATCATCCCCCAGCACTGCCAGAGCCACCACTGATCCATGGCCCCAAGTGCCACATCCACAGGGCTTTGAAATCCCTCCAGGGATGGGCAGCTTTCCCAGCAAGAAATTGTTCCCTGTATCCAATCTAAACCCTCCTGGCCCAGCCTGAGGCCATTTCCCCTTGTCCTGTCCCTGTTCCCTGGGAGCAGAGCCCGACCCCCCCTGGCTGTGCCCTCCTGGCAGGGACTTGTGCAGAGCCACAAGGGCCCCCTGAGCCTCCTTTGCTCCAGGCTGAGCCCCTGCCCAGCTCCCTCAGCCCCTGCTGGGGCTCCATTCCCTTCCCAGCTCCCTCAGCCCCTCCTGGGGCTCCATTCCCTGCCCAGCTCCCTCAGCCCCTCCTGGGGCTCCATTCCCTGCCCAGCTCCCTCAGCCCCTCCTGGGGCTCCATTCCCTGCCCAGCTCCAGCCCCTGCAGGTCTCTCGTGTCAGGAGGGGCCCAGAGCTGCCCCCAGCCCTGGAGGTGCCCCAGCAGTGCCAGCACAGGGGACGGGCACTGCCCTGGCCCTGCTGCCACCCTGGCTTGTGTCCATGGCCTGTGGCACATCCCTGTGTGCCCAGGGCTGCTGTACCTGTGGCCCTGACCTCTGTCAGGAGTTCAAAATTCCATCAGCTTCCTGCAGGTGCCACTGAGGTGTTTCAGGACTGAGCTGGGCTGGATCCCTGCGTGGCTCTGGCACCATTTCTGTGGGATGTGCTCCCCTGGCCAAGGGCTCAGTGTACACAGAAACCCCTGTGCTGGAACATTCCTGCCTAGGAGCAGCTCATGGGAGCTCCAGAGCTCCAGACACATGGGTTGCCCAACCCTGGCCCTTGTTCCCTGTCCTCTTCCTGTTCCTACACAAATAAACCCCATCCCAAGCCTGTCTCAGCCCTGCCTTCCTCCCTCTCCTGTGTGATGATTCTGTGGATAATGTCACCCAGTTGTCACTGCAGTCCTCAGTCATTTCTTAATCAGTTTCTGACAAGCTTTGTGTGATAAATGGGGTGAAAACATTGGTGAACAGGAGGTCAGGCTACAAACCATACCAACCTTTGGGCCCTTAAATCTTCATTTTTGGCCTCTGTCATTATTCCTGGGATTCTTCTGCAAGGCTGTGACAAAGAGAGTTAAAAAAGGAATGTGGAGAGTGAATTGTGGTGAGGGTTTAGGTTCCTTTCCAGCCAGCTGGAAGTAGATGTTGATGTTGGATCAAACCCACTGGAGTGGGGTTTTGGCTTCGGTGTCACCAAGTTCTGTCCTGTGACAAGGAGGAGCTTGAGTGTCCTTCCATGGGAGCTGCTGTCCCAGGAGCAGGGAGCAGAGGCTGGGAACAAGCCCAGTTTATCCATAAAAGCTGGGGGTTTTGGAGGTCATTAGTTCACATCATCTGAGTTCAGCTTGTGGTGTTTGTAGGCTGGGATTTCCTTACTCCACCAAACCCAGCGCTGGCTCTAAAATAATTCCAGTTGACTTTGGGGTGGTCCCACTTCAAGCACTGGGGTTTTTCCCAGCTTTCCATTTATTTAAAACAAACCAAACAACAGGAAAAAACCCCTTAAATTAGTTGTTCACATTTGTGCTGGAGTGGGGGAGGATTCCCTGCCTTTCTGAGGAGCTCTTTGCGCACAGCTGATCCCAGTTCCCTCTGGTGATGCCAGCCCCCAGTGGTCCCACTTCAAGCACTGGGTTTTTTCCCAGCTTTCCATTTATTTAAAACAAACCAAACAACAGGAAAAAACCCCTTAAATTAGTTGTTCACATTTGTGCTGGAGTGGGGGAGGATTCCCTGCCTTTCTGAGGAGCTCTTTGCGCACAGCTGATCCCAGTTCCCTCTGGCGATGCCAGCCCCCAGCTCTGGGTGTTTTCCTGGGGGATCTCCAGAGCCATCTAACTGTGTTCACTTGTTTCCTTGCAGACCCCTGTAAAAGAGCCCAACAGTGAAAATGTAGATATCAGCAGTGGCAGTGGGGTGACGGGCTGGAAGAGCAAGTGCTGCTGAACCTTCTCCTCTCTCACCAATCGCCATCCACCGCCCCTTTTTTCTCGCTGCAAAACAAACCACTCTGCCCGTTTTTTAACCTGAAACCAATGGTTTTGTTCCTCATCTTAACGAGCTCCTGCCTCCCCTTGGTTTTCTGGCTAGGACAGCTTTGCCTACTCCAGTTTTCTCAACACATTGTATAGGAAATTCATCTCCGTGACTTCATTTCCATGTCCCTGCTCAGCTCACCACTACATTTGGGTTGTATTATAGTCCCGTCCCTCCTGCCATTAAACCCCAGAGCAATCATACTCAACTCTCTTCTGCAAATTGTATAAGAATAAAGGTTAGAATTAACAATTGATTTTGTACAACAGTGGAATTTTCTGTCATGGATCATGTGCTTGAGTCACCATATTCTCTAGATGCATCAGGCAAGAGCCAGGAAAAACTCATTTTCGCCTTGAGTCCGTGAGTGGGGTTTCTTTGTCCTGTGCCTTATGTGGAAAAAGGAACTTTTATTTTCACTTTCTTTTCTCTTTTCTGGTGGAAGCATGTGCAGGAGACATCCCATCCCCCCTGTGCCATTGAGTCCTGACCTCTGTAGTGGTTGCTTTCTGTAACGTTGGTGTCATGCATCGAGGACAAAGGGTGGTGCAAAACAAAAGCAAACTCCATGTAACCTGCTGTGTCTCCTCTTGCCAATCCCGCCATTCCCAACTCTTCCTGCTGCCATTTTTTTTTCTCACTTTGCCGCTCTTTCCTTTTTTTTTTTCCTTTTCTTTTCTTTTTTTTTTTTCTTTTTTTTTTTTGCCTGCATGCTGCTTTGATTTGCATTTCTCCATGGTGTGATGTGTTAATGGAAAGGATGGCAACGCGGTGTGTTTGCCAAAAATTTAATACAAAGCACTGATTTAGCTTCCGAGGTAAAAATGTTGAGATTCCTACTAACCCCCCTAGGCCTGTCCGTCACTAGTGGTTCCCTCCTCCTCCTCCTCCTCCTCCTCCCGCGTAGCCCCGGCCTTTCCCCCCATATGGAAGAGTTATTTGCATGCACTAGTTTCTATGGAGGGTGATGTGGTTGTCTACTTTCTGTGTATGAATATAACATGGATCCCCAAACTGACAGCAGTTCATTAACACGAGCTCCCAGCTTCTGTCCCGAGGGCTGCGGGGGCCGGCCCGAGGCCGAGCGGAACTGGATGGAAAGAGAAGGAAAGGAAAGGAAAGGAAACAAACCAGCCAGAGGGCAGTTTAATTTATTACCTCCCTGGAAACTTTCCACTTTCCAGTGTCCGCGCCGGCCGTGCCGGGCCGGTCCCGCCCCGGATCCCGGCAGGGGCAGCTCCCCCCGGGATGGAGCGGCCGTTCCAGCGCTCCCCGCGGCTCCTGCCGCTGTCACCGGCCCTGCTGGCCCTGTCCTGCCGCTCCTGCCGCTGTCACCGGCCCTGCTGGCCCTGTCCTGCCGCTCCTGCCGCTGTCACCGGCCCTGCTGGCCCTGTCCTGCCGCAGGCGGGGCCCGGCACCGCCGCTGCCGCTGCCGAGCGCTCGCCCTGCGGTGGATGCCCGGCCGCGGATCCCCGGCGGTGAATCCCGGCTCCAAGCCCGGCCCCGAGCCCGGTCCCGGCGGGGAGGACACCGAGCCCCGCTCGGCTCCTGGGCCCTGCCTGTGCCTCGCTCCGGCCGCGGCCTTGGCACCGGGACTGGCACCGGGACTGGCACCGGGACTGGCTCCGCTCCGCCCTCGCCGCAGCCGCTAACGCTGAGTGAATTTTAATGAAATGACGGTGTTTGAACACGGAACTCCTGGTCCGGAGCGGCTCCTCACCCAGGTGTCTCCCTGTCCCTCTGTATTTGGCATTTTGTCCCCGTGTGTGTTAACCCTTCCCAGGCGAGTGGCTGGTGAGCTCGGGCTCAGCGTTGTACAGAGTCCGGCCACTTTCGGCTAAATCTGCACTTTCTAACGTGATCAAAAAGGGAAAAAAATGGCGAAATCTACATCAAGGGGTTTGGTTTGTTTTTTGGGTTTTTTTTTTGTTTTTTTTTTTTTTTGTATAATCCTCGTTTTAAACGTGAGCTTTTTATTTGCCTGCAGGGGCTCTGCTCCCTGTGTGTGCCCCCTTTGTAGACGCTGTGCCCGTTGCAGGCACAGGTGGAGCCCAGGCCACTCGCTGGTGCCACTCGCTGCCAACGCCGCCCCCTCGTCCCTCGCCGTCAATAAAACTGAGCTGTTTCTATCGGGTCTATTTCTGTTCCTGTCCAAGCTCCAGCTGCACCCGGGGCGGGCCGGGAGGAGGGAGCAGCACGAGTCGGTGCCGATGCTGAAACAGATAAAACCCCCCTAAAAAATAATAATAATAATATTAATAATAACCATCATGTCGGAGGAGTTTGCAGTAACTTGATGTCTGCTGGTATCTCAACTCCCTGCTAGTTCTAAACTAACTGCTTGTGAAACCTCTGCTTGGAAGCCCAGCCCAGCCCTGTGGAGTAGAGAAGGGCAGCGGGAGGTGTCAGCAGCCCCTCCGTGCCCCCGGCCCCGCCCGCGGAGGGAGCTCAGCGCTGCCCTTTTGTCACCAAAAAAGCGTTAAACGATGAAATCGGTCCTGCTAAACCAAACCCGAGCTTGGCTCTGTCCCACGGCCGTGTCACACGCCGGGGGCTCCGCGGCGCTTCGTGCCCTCGGACGGTGGAATAAAACAGCATCAAGGTCTTGGATTAATTCCCATGCCGACAATTTTTTACTTAATCTTTTAATATTTTTGCTACTCCACTCTGGCTTTTTATTTAAAACACATTCTTTTGTACCACTTACTGTATCAAATTGTATAAAAGATCACTGTCCCATTCTTGGTCGTACCAAGAGCAAATAAAAGCTTTTATAAACTTGCACTGGTGACTTCCTGGGCGCCTTGAATCCCCCCTGGCTCCGGTGGGAGTGAGCCCAGCCCTGGAGGAGGTGGGATGAGTCCCCCCAGACTCTCAGGGCTGCTTTGCCCGGGGGTGGAGCTGTTCCTGCTGCCTTGCCCAAAGCTGCCGGTGGCGTTTGCCCAGGGCAGGATGCTGGGAAGGGCAGCTGGGGCTCCCAGGCTGCCCCATCCCGACCTGGAGCCCCTTGAGGGGGGGACACCAGCTTGGGGCTGTGGGGTCTCCTCTGGGACCCTGCTGGGGAGGGACTTTGGGTGTTTTTTGGGAAGCAGCTGTTCCACCCCATGTTCTGCACCTCATGTTCTGCACCCCCTGCCTCGGGTGGGAATCAGGGGTGGCTGTTCCAGCTCTCCAAGAGCCCCCACTGCTGTGCCACTGTCCTTCCCCACCCTGTCCCCTCTGCCAGCCTCTGGGGCCAGGGATGTCCCCTCCAGCAAAGCCCAGTGAGGGACCATCCCAGGGACAGCAGGGGACCCATTGCTGCTGCTGCCCTCCCACTGCCACGGTGTCCCTGGTCCTACAGTGTCCCCAATGCCACAGTGTCCCCATTGCCGTGGTGTCCCTGCTGCCATGATGTCCCCGCTGCCACGGTGTCCCTGGTCCTACAGTGTCCCTGTTCCCATTGCCACAGTGTCCCTGTTCCCACAGTGTCCCCGCTGCCATGCTGTCCCCGTGCCGCGGTGTCCCTGCTGCCATGGTGTCCCCGCTGCCATGGTGTCCCCGTTCCCACAGTGTCCCCGCTGCCATGGTGTCCCTGCTGCCATGCTGTCCCCGTGCCGCGGTGTCCCTGCTGCCATGGTGTCCCTGTTCCCACAATGTCCCTGCTGCCATGGTGTCCCCGCTGCCATGGTGTCCCCGTGCCGCGGTGTCCCTGCTGCCATGGTGTCCCCGCTGCCATGGTGTCCCCGTTCCCATGGCGCCGGGATCCGGCAGAGGCTGGTGGGTTTTTTTTTTGTGCCGCTGCTGGGAATAAAGCCGGGGCTGTGTCATGGCCGCGGGGCCCGGCCGTCCCTGGCAGGGGCGAGGCCGTGGGGAGCAGCTCAGCGATCCCAAATCCTCCCCATCGCGGGGGCTCAGGGAGTGGGAGAGCCCCCACAGCCACCCATGGGTGCGGGATTTGGGGGAAACTCCCAGGGAGTCTCGGGGAGGGGGGGCCTGGCAGGAACCTTCCCCACACGGACGCCATCCCAGTGTCCCGTTTGTCCGTGTCACCCCCGGCACTGAGCCTTGGGGCTTTCCCCATCCTCCTCCTCCTCCTCCTCCTCCTCCTGCTGCATCCTTCTTTCTGTCGCCATCCCAGCTCCACCATCCCGGCTCCACCATCCCAGCTCCACCATCCCGGCTCCATCCCCACTCTGGCTCCATCCCCATCCTGGCTCTGTTCCATACACGCCCTTCCCTGTCCCCTCTCCTTTCCTACAGCTGTTCCTTCCCTTTCCCTGCTCCTTTCCCATCCTTGCTCCTTCCCTACAGCTGCTCCATCGTTTTCCCTGTTCCTTCTCCATCCCTGCTCCTTCCCTGCTCCTGCTTCACCCTTCTCACTGTTCCACCTCTGTTCCATCCCATCCCATCCCATCCCATCCCATCCCATCCCATCCCATCCCATCCCATCCCATCCCATCCCATCCCATCCCATCCCATCCCATCCCATCCCATCCCATCCCATCCCATCCCTGCTCCTCCCCGTCCAGCAGCCTCCCCCTGTGCTTGGCCCGGGGACAGTGACGGGGGCAGAGGACAGCACACAGTGACACGTCCCCAGGGCCGGGCACCTGCTGCTTCCTCCACTCCCTCATCCTCCTCAGCCCAGTCTCCAGCGGAGTGGGAATGCAGCCGGCAAAGGACCGGGGAGGGGGATCGGGACCAGACGCTGCAGAGCGGGACCGGGGCTTCCCCCCCCGGGCTGAGTGACCGAGGGTGCGGGGACCCACCGGGTCCGGTGTCCCCCGCAGGGTGCGGAGTCCCCGCTCGGGGCGACGCTGATGTCGCTGCCGAGGGTCCCCCGCTGACTGTGACGTCCCCGTCCCCCTCTCCCGGTCCCATTTGTGCTCCGCGTCCGTGCGGCAGCGCCGGCCCGCGGGGTCCCGGCGGGGACATCGGGGTGTGGGGCAGCATCGGGGTCCCCCCGTCCCCCACCGGTCCCTTGTGCTCCCCGCCGCCCTCGCTTGGGACCCCCCGGCAGCTCCCGGCGACTCCGCGCCTCCAGCAGCGGGACAGGACGGGACGGGACGGGACGGGACGGGACGGGGGAGGGACCCCGCGGCGCCCCCCGCCCGTTCCCTCGGCGGCCGGAGGGAGCCGAACCCCCGGGACCCCGGGGCGAGCCGGGGCTGAGCCCCCGGAGCCCGAGGGCGCGGGCGGAGCCGCTCCCCAACCCCGCGGGGCAGCGCGACCCGCCCGGGACAGCCCCGGAGCGGCCCCGCCGGGGGATGCGCG